CTGTGATGTCACCACTGTCCCCTGTGACATCACCAATATCCCCAATGATGTCACTGAGTCTCTTTGATGTTAACCATGTACTTTTGTTGTCACTGATGTCCCATGTGATGTCACCAATGTCCCTGTGACATCTCAGCTGTCTCTTTGTTTTCACCAATCTCCTGTGATGACACTCGTCCCCAGTGATGTCACCAATGTCCCTTTCATTAGCGTTAGGGTTAACATTGTGACCCACCCTTCTTCCAGGGTCAGCCATTCTCCTCTGGATCTGAATCCTGTGCTGTGTCCTCACCTTGCTCCTCTTGTCGTCCACCCCCATCAGCACCCTCGTCCTGGAGAGATGGGAGAACTGAGCACTGGGAGAGCCCAGCCTGGAGACATCCCCATGCCCATCAGTTCCCTCTGATGCTCTCCCTGCCCTGCACTCCCTGCTGTCCCCGTGTCTCTGCCCCCTCACCTGAGTGGGACCAACCCCACCCCCAGCTCCCCTTTGGGCTCAGCCCGCTTGGGGCAGTGCTCAAGGGCTGTGCTGCCATTGCCCTGCTCTGCTTTGCTCAGCCCCTGCTCTCTGCTCACACACAGCCCTGTGGAACTTCACAGAATCACACCCAGTAGTCCAAGTGGGAAGGGACCCCCAAGGATCATCGAGTCCAACTCCAGTGCCTTCTCTGGACCATCCCCCAGAGTCACACCACGTGCCCGGGAGTATCGTCCAAACAATTCTTCTATTTGTACCAAGCCAGCGGTGCTGAACCCCCACACAGGCACCTCCTGCTCCCAGACAGCAGCATCTCCAGCCTCTGGGTAAGGGAGAGGGGATGCAGCCATCTCCTAAGTTATCCCAAACAGGGCATTCCCGTCGAACCTTGATGTGTGCCTCACCCCTCTGGGAGGATCTGTGGGCATGTGCTGGGAATTCCTGGAGGAGCTGCCATTGTTGGAGGAGGTGCATTTCTGCTGTTCCCCCCACTGTCCTGGCTTTAGCTCTCCTGAAGGAAACATTTGCTTGGAGAGGCCTCAAAACACCCCCAGGTCCTTCTCCATGAAATACCCTCCCTCCCAGTTTTGTGAAATCACCTGGTGCAAGCAGGGAAGGTGTCCACACAACGTCTCTGAGAGGGGCAGGGGAAAATGGGAAGAATCTGCAAGATCTCTGTGCTGTAAACAAAGCATGAATTTGCACCTCTTCCAATTTAAAGAAACACAAGTGTTTGGCTAAGGAGGTTGAGTTAGGAAGAAGACCAAACTCCTCCTCTAAGCAATTGTAAATCCAAAATTAGGAGGCTCCAAGTATGGAGAGGAAGTATGGAGAAGGGAAAAATAACAGTCCTTTAATAAAAGATATTTGCGTGTTGGCAGAACAAGGAAAGAGCACAAAACCAACCAAATAATCCTGTACCAAAAATCCCCCTCAAAAAAGGGAACAGTCCGGTATTCCTTGCTTTTTGGTGCAATTCCAATCCCGGTCAGCAGGGGCCGCTGTTGGATCACCGGAGGAGCAGAACCTGCAGGGGCTCCCTGACAAGGGTGATTTTTCACCCCACACACCGAGAAGGGGAAGAGAAAGGGGATGTTTCTGCCTCATCAAACCCTAACCCTAACCCTAACCCTAACCCTAACCCTAACCCTAACCCTAACCCTAACCCTAACCCTAACCCTAACCCTAACCCTAACCATAAGCCTAACTCTAACCCTAACCCTAACCCTAACTCTATCCCTTACTCTAACTCAAATGTTACCTAAAACTTAACCCTAATCTAACTCTTACCCCTAACCCTAAAATTAACCCCTAACCCCTAAACCAAACCCTAAAAGCTAAGCCTGACTGTCAGCTTAAACCTAACACTAAACCCTAACCCCCTAACCCAAACCCTAAACCTTAACCCAAAAAAACTTCTAAACCCTAAACCCAAACCCTAAACACAAACCCTAAACCCTAAACCTAACCCTAAAATCTAAGCCTATGCCTAACCCTAACCCTAACCCTAAACCCTAACCCTAAGCCAAACCCTAAACCCTAACCCTAACCCTAATGAAAGGGATATTGGTGACATCACTGGGAATGAGTGTCATCACAAAGGATTGGTGAAAAAAAAGAGACAGCTGTTATGTCACAGAGACATCAGTGACATCACATGAGACATCAGTGACATCACAAGTACATGGCTGACATCAAAGAGACATCAGTGACCTCACTGGGGATATTGCTGACATCACAGGGGACAGTGGTGACATCACAGGGCCATGGGTGACATCATTGAGTAGCAGTGACATCACAATGGACTGGTGACAACAAAGGGACAGGTCTGGAATCACAGGGACATCGGTGACATCACAGGGGTCTGGTGACATCACAAGGATATCGGTGACAATACCGGAACAAGGTGCCACTGCTGGGCACAGCGGTGGCACCACAGGGACAGTTGTGACATCACTGGGGACCAGTGACATCACAGGGGGCTGGTTAAAAAAAGGTGACAGTTGTGATGTCACAGGGACATCAGTGATATGAAAGGAGTCTGGTGACATCGCAGGGACATGGGTGACATCACTGAGGACCAGTGACATCACAGATAACTGGTGAAAACAAAGGGACAGTTGTGATGTCACAATGACATCGGTGACATCAATGGGGACATTGGTGACTTCACAAGGACAATGGTGACATTACAGAGACAGCGGTGACATTACAGAGACAGCAGTGACATCATCAGAGACACAGGGGACAGTGGTGACATCACACGGACATTGGTGATATCAGTGGGGACCAGTGACATCCCAGGGGACTGGTGACAAGAAAGGGCCATCTGTGATGTCACAGGGACATCACTGACATTAAAGGCATCTGGTGACATCACAGGGACATTGGTGACATCACGGGGATATAGTGCCACCGCTGGGACAGTGGTGACATCACAGAGACAGAAGTGACATCATTGTGGACCAGTGACATCACAGGGGACTGCTGACAACAAAGGGACACCAGTGATGTCACAGGGACATTTGTGACATCACAGGGGACATCAGTGACATCACAAGGCCAGGTGTGACATCACAGAGACACCAGTGACATCACTGTAAACAGGGTTGACATCACAGGGGACAGTGGTGCCATCACAGATACATTGGTGACATCATTGGGGACGAGTGATATCACAGGGGACTGGTGACTACAAATGACAGCTGTGATGTCAGAGAGACTACTGAAATCACAGGGGACATCCGTGGCTTCACAGTGACAGTGGTGACATCACAGAGACACCAGTGACATAATCAGAGACATGGATGACATCACAGGGGACAGTGGTACCATCACAGATACATCGGTGACATCATTGGGGATAAGTGATATCACGGGGGAGAGGTGACTACAAATGACAGCCGTGATGTCAGAGAGACCACTGAAATCACTGGGGACAGTAGTGACATCACAGGGACAGCAGTGATATCATTGGGGATGTCGGTGAGATCAGAGGGACAGTGGTGACATCACTAGAGACACCAGGGACACTCCTGGGGACACCAGTGACATCACAGGGACATCTGTGACATCATTGGGGACATCGGTGACATGATATGGACTCCAGTGACATCGCTGGGGAGAGCGGTGATATCACAGGGGAGAGTGGTGACATCACTGGGGACACAGGGACCACCCCTGGGGACAGCAGTGACACTACAGTGGTGACATCCGTGAGGACAGCAGTGACATCACAACTGTCTGGTGACATCACAGGGACTGTGATGACATCAGTCGGACAGCTGTGACATCATTGGGGACACCAGTGACATCCCAGGGACAGTGGTGACATCACTGGGGATTTTGGGGATGTTTGGGGGCCTTTGGGAGGGCACCTGCCTGGGGGGTTAATTGCGAGCACGGACGACTGAGCACACCAATGTGATGATCAGAGAGCACCGTTTATTGGAATCAAGCAGCAGTCTTTTATCCAGGTTTCTAACAATACTCTTCTATCAGTTCTGTTTCTTTAACATTCTTTATGTCCTTTCCCACTCTGATAGCCGGTACTGAGACCCTGTTTTCTATATCTAGTTTTGCTACCGTTTCTCTTGGTAGATCTTTCACATCCTGGTACCATCAGAAGGCCATCAGAACAACAGATCATGTTTTCACAATTGCAACATAAGGTTATGTTCTCACAGTTGCTGCATATCCTCTAGTTAGCAACATAAGATTGCATTCTCACATCTGCAGCATATTCTCTATGTTAGCACTAAAAATCCCTACACTTCCTCCTTTTTCTTTAAACAAAGCAGACACAGTTTGAGCCCTTAAGCTGCACAAACAATGAACCAGACATGGCAGAAAAATACACACTCCTTGAAGCAGAAAGACAACGGGTGCCAACCATTGTACAGTTTGGATAAGCTGATTCTGGGGGGGCCTTGGGAGGGCACCTGCCCTTCAACACCAGGACTGCAGAGAACTGGGAAGCTTTACTGGGAGCACTGGGAGCAGCAGGCGGTTGGTGTGAGAACAAAAGCAGGGCCGGGGGACACACACGACCCCCCAAACTCTGGGCAGGGATGGACTGGGGGGTCCAGGCTGGGCCTGAGGCCACGGGGAGGGGCTGTGGCCGCCGGCGGCTCAGGAGCTCTGTGGGGAGAGAAAAGGGGTGACAGCGGGGTGGGGGGGCAGGGGGGCACACACGGTCTGGGGAAGGGGGGACACGACCCCCGGGGACCCCCCTTTACCTTTTCCCACAGGTAGAAGCCGAGCCCCAGTGCCAGGAAGACGAAACCCAACACGAAGCCCCTGACCCCCACCAGGATCTTGCTGTGGATGGTGTCCTGTGGCATCTCTGGGGGGAGCTGGGGGGCTCAGGACCCCCAAAACCTCCCATAGACCACCCAGGACCCCACAAACCCCGCCCTGGTCTCCCCCAGCCCACCCAGAACCCCCTGAATCCTCTTGCCAGTCCCTTCTGCATTATTTAGTTTGAATCCGTGCCCGGAGTAAAGACAAGTACAACAGTCACTCAAACACTACAAAAAACTTTTATTGCAGTGAGAAAAAAAAAAAACTACTAGCAAAGAGATTCAAAAGTTGAAAAATACAAACCCACTACATTATCAGTTGCCATGCATACAATACTACAAACAGCTTTTATTACAGCATTCGCTAGTAAAAAGGGAATTAAAGGGATACAAAAAAAAGGATATAAAATGTTTGCTTCCTTGGTGCTCACCTGCACAGACAGGCCAGGCCTACCAGGCTCTGCAGGGCTGGTCGGTGCCCGTGCTTGGCGGGTGTCCCCGTGGAGCAGCACAGTGTGGATGGAAGGATGAGCATCGCTCCCCCCAGCAGTGCCGACACCCCATTCCATCAGCTCTACATTACACTGCGTAGGGCCAGGACGCAGCAGAAGGTGGTGCTTGAGTGGCAGCCAAACAGGACCTGTTCATCACCTCATGGCAACAGTCTGGGCGTGCCCCACTGTAGGGCAAGGGGCCAACGACCCCTGCCCACATCATCTTCCTCTCCATCACTTTCCTCAGCCCTATGGACGACCTGTACTGTTGTGTTCCAAGGGGATTTGTATCTCTCTTGCAGAGGGGAGCCAAGCCAAGGAGGAACTCAGCTCTGATAATGGGGGACATCCAGTTAACTTTGCTAAAGGCACAGTGGGCCTTACAGTGAACTTGTGCAATAAAGTTACCTTGTACAACACTCTGGCTGGTTTCACATGCGAATATAATCACTTTGTCACCTCTCTGTGCTCCATTGATCATCTGAATAAAAAGTACCCCCTTACACCATGGAAACCATTATGCATTCTCATTATCACACTGGTTACCATGGCAACCATTATGCAGTTTCATTGTTATGGTCAGTTACCAAGGTAACCATCATGCATGTCCACTGTTACCTCGGTTACCATGGCAACCATTATGCAATCTCAATGTTTACGTCAGTTACCAAGGCAACCATTATACATTAGCATTGCTATGTCAGTAACATTATGTCAGCAACCATTATGCATTCAAATTGCTACGTTGGTTACCATGGCAACCATAGTGCATTCCAGTTGCTACCTAGGTTACCATAGCAACCATTATGCATTTTCATTGTTACCTCGGTTACTATGGAAACCATTACGCAGTCTCATTGTTAGCTTTGGTTACCATGGCAACCATTGTGCATTCTGATTGTTAAAAGTGGTTACCACGGAAACAATTATGCATTCTCATGGTTACATCAGTTACCATGGCAACCATTATGAATTCTCATTGTGACATCAGTTACCATGGCAACCATTAAGCACTCGAATTGTTACGGTCACTACCATGGCAACCATTATGCATTCTCATTATTATGTCGTTACCATGGCAACCAATATGCATTCTCATTATTATGTCGGTTACCACGGACACCATTATGCAGTCTCATTGTTTAGGTCGATTACCACGGCAACTATTATACACAGCATTGTTACATCAGTAACCATGGGATCATTATGCATTCAAATCATTATGTCGGTTACCATAGCAACCACTGTGCATTCCCATTGTTACCTAGGTTACCATGGCAACTATTATGAATTCTCATTGTTATCCTGGTTACCATGACAACCATTAGGCATTCTCATTCTTAAAAGCAGTTATCATGGCAACCATTATGGATTTTCATTGTTCCATCAGTTACTGTGGCAACCATTAGGCATCCTCATTGTCACAAGCGGTTACCATGGCAACCATTATGCATTCCCATTGGTATCTAGGTTACCATGGCAACCATTCTGCATTCCCATTGTTTTGTCACTTACCATGGCAACTCTTATGTATTCTCATTGTTACAGTCGATTACCATGGCAACCATTATGCAGTCCCATTGATACCTCAGTTCCATGCAAACCATTATGAATTCTTATTGATACTCTGGTTACCATGGAAACCATCATATTATCCCATTGCTACGGTCAGTTACCATGGCAACCATTATGCATTCCATTTCCTATGGACGGTTATCATGGCAACCATCATACATCCCCATCACTATGGTCGGTTACCATGGTAACCATTATGCATTCCCTGTTACGTCGCCTACCATGGCAACCATCTGTAACACACAGATAATACAGAAATGCCGAAAATTGTTTCTCAATTGTTTCTGCCTGTCAAAAACTTCCTACCAAACATTCTCTGTCAGTTCTCTGCCAGTAGTTCTCACCAGGACTTCCCACGGCACTTTTCCTGCCAAAAGATCCTGCCATTGTTTATGGTTATCATATTTCTTCCAACATCTGAACTGGCTACGTGCCAAGAAACCACGTTCAACCTCCTGTGAACACTATAAAAACTGAGGACAAATTTTGGAAAATGAGGGAGAGGAAAGGGAGAGAGAACTGGTGACTGTAGCCGAGAATCTCTGCCCACCTCCCCTCACCTTTTCTCCGCCACCGCGTGCTGCCTGCCTGCCACCGGAGACTGGAACTGTGCCGGCCTGGAGAGAGCTGAGACCACCGTGCCACATGTGGGAGTTCTACCCTGACCATATTTCTGAGGGCCCAAAGCTTTGGCTGAGCAGAGACCCTGCACAGCCTGGGACAGGGGCGTGAGCGGTGAAACCACACATGGTGCATTGCAGAGAACTAAAGCTGTCAGACCCCCTGCAGCTACAAAGACAACATCCAAAAGCTGCAGGGACAGAGAAAAAAAAGGTAGAAACTGCTTCTCCCCACACACACACACCAGCTCAGCGAGTAAAGGTATTTTCAGTGGTATCTTTTCTCTGCTTCTAGGAGTAATCTTAGCAGTTTCCAACCTTCTCTTATTTTTTCCTTTCTCTTTGCACCTCTTAGCAATTAATAAAAATCAGGTTTTGGTATCAACAGGTAACTTGTGTGAGTTTTAATTTTGCTCAAGGGAATATTCAAATCTGAAGTTCTTTCTGCAATATTTTAGCAGATTGTAGCAGGGGACCATGGAAAATTCCATGGGAGGAACAGGGAGAAGGGTGAAAAGGGGGGAGTGGTCTGGTGGATCCAAAGCTCCCATGAGGGTCTTTGGGTAGAGGGGAGTTGGGAAAGTGAGGAGCCCACCTGAGCTTCCAACTGACTGTGGAGTGCTGGGGCTGCTGGATCCAATCTCAACCTTAGGTTATGCCAACAGGTTCAGTTTAGAGGAATTACAGAGGTGGGACTGAACCACTTTTGTCTCCCAGGTTTTAATGATGGCAAATCAGATCTATTGATAGAAATGAATTATTTAGGGTTACAAGTGATTAGACAAAAGATCTTCATCAGAATTATTTACTGCACAATAGAAACACTAAAACTACCAGTAGTACAGCATAAGATAGGACAGTGCTCTACCCTAAAGCAATTGTTGAAGCAATTCTACTAAAGCTGGCACCAAAGCAAGAATTATGAATTAGAGAAGGATGGAACTCCCTCAGACCAATGCTCGTGGGGAGATCTCTGCTCTCAACCTCCAGCAGTGACCTTGGGGGTCCTCAGCCAAGGCAGGAATCTCCACACAGCCCCAAGAAGGGTTCTGTTGGCACAACCTGCCCCTGGGAAAGGGGACTGGCCCTTTCTGGTAGAAAGTGATGGACTGACAGTCACTGGACTCCAGGGGTTGCCTCACCATCAGGGGGGTCATTCAGGGTGGGAGCAGCGGCCAAAGCTCTTCCCACAGTCAAGGCACTCGTAGAGCTTCTCTTACCGGTGGGTCCGTTGATGTCTGGTCAAGTCAGAGCTCTGAGGTGAAGCTCTTCCCACACTCCCCACACTTAAAGGGTCTCTCCCCGGTGTGGATGCGCCGGTGGGTGACGAGGGTGGAGTTCCGGGTGAAGCCCTTCCCGCAGTCGGTGCAGCGGAAGGGCCTCTCCCCTGTGTGTGTCCGCTCATGCCTGAGGAGAGTTGAGCTGGTCTGAAACTTCTTCCCACATTCTCCACATGTGTAGGGCCGTTCCTTAGTGTGGAAAAGCTGGTGTTGGGTCAGGGCACGTTTCTGCTTGAAGCTCTTTCCACATTCCCTACACGTGTAGGGTCGTTCCTCGGAGTGGATGCGCCGGTGGCTGTAGAGGTTGGAGCTCTTGGAGAAGCGCTTCCCACATTCCCTACACATGTAGGGTCGTTCCCCAGTGTGGATGCGCAGGTGGGCGAGGAGCCTGGAGCTGTCCCTGAAGCTCTTCCCACATTCCCCACATGTGTAGGGTCGTTCCCCAGTGTGGCTGCGCTGGTGTCGCATCAGAGTGGAGCTCTGGGTGAAGCTCTTCCCACATTCCGCACACCTGTAAGGCCGTTCCCCGGTGTGGATGTGCTGGTGTTGGGTCAGGGCAGGTCTCTGCTTGAAGCTCTTCCCACATTCCCCACACGTGTAGGGCCGTTCCCCAGTGTGGATGTGCTGGTGTTGGATCAGGGTGTAGCTCTGCCTGAAGCTCTGCCCACATTCCCCACACGTGTAGGGCCGTTCCCCAGTGTGGATGTGCTGGTGGCTGAGGAGCTTGGACCTCTTCCTGAAGCTCTTCCCACATTCCCTACATGTGTAGGGTCGTTCCCCAGTGTGGATGTGCTTGTGTTGGATCAGGGTGGAGTTCTGGGTGAAGCTCTTCCCACATTCCCCACACGTGTAGGGCCGTTCCCCAGTGTGGATGAGCTGGTGGCTGAGAAGGTGGGAGCTCTCCCTGAAGCTCTTCCCACATTCCAAGCACCTGAAGGGCTTCTCCCTGCTGGGAGGCTGCTCAGGGACCAACAGCTCCGAGCTCCAGCTCAAGCTCCAGGTGCCTTCCCGGCACAGGACAGGTCTTTCCTCCTCAGAGCTCCCTGGGCTGGCTTTGCAGCCCCTCCTCTGGGGGCATCTCCGGGTCTTTTCCTCCCCGCTGCCTTCCTGCACCAGGGAGCCCTTCAAAACAGCCTCTCCCACCAGGCTCTGCCGGGGGATTTGTCCTCCGTGCTCTCCGTCCTCAGCTCGGGGCCTGGGGCAGGAAGGAAGAAGGACAGGCAGGGGATTTGCCTCCAGCCCAGAGGGAAGGCCAAGGACATCCTCCCAAATTTGGTCCCCACAGGCACCACAAGACAGGGCCAAAGGGGCACTGACTTCCTCCTCACCTGCCTGGGGGGCCTGCGGAATCTTCCTCTTCCTCACAGCCTCCTCCTCCATCCGCCCAAGCTTTGGGAAGGACAAATCCTGCTGGAGAAGAAACAAGGGCTGAGTGCATTGGCTTGGGGGTTCCTCCTGCCCAAGTCCATCCCTAGGACTCACCGGGCATCCTGGGACCATAAAAACCTCCAAAACATAACGATTCAGCCCAGAAAAACCTAAAGCACTGATTCAGAGAAAAAACCCAAAACCACTGAGGCTGAGGTAAAAAACCTCAGAAATAGATGAATCCCCTCTGAAACTTCCGAAAGTTAAGGTTCATCCAAAACATGAAGATTCATGCCAAAACAATTGTCCCAGGTGTTCCCCCTCTCTGGTCTCTCCCCTCGGGGGTTTACAGGGTCTCCCCTGTCTGGGATGTCAGGGGTTCCACTTCAGGATGCTGGGAGTGTTGGGGGTCCAAAGGGTCTGTTCTCTGACTCTCGCTTTTGGGGGTGCCACCTTCCCAGATATTCCCCAGGAAGGGGGAACTTGTCCCAAATAGCCTGGGGGAGCACGGGGGTCGTGACATCCTTGGGCTGCGAGCACAGATTTCCCTGCAAAGTCTGCATGGAGTCAGTCGAGCTCTGGACAGCAGATTGTGCCCCAGGGATGGGACTGCAGAGGGGCCCTCAGGTCCCCAGGATGAAGCAGCAACCAGCAGTAGACACCAAAAAGGTCCCCCCAAAGATCTTGGGGGCAGTGTCCTGCAGGGAGGGGACAGTGTCACCCCATGAGGTGGCCGAAGAGGCTTCATGCTCTGCTCGGCCCCATCAGTGGCTGGGACCAACACCCCGTCCTCGTGGCCAGTGGCTCTTTCCTGCCCAGCCAAGAGGTTCCCGGCCCCCCAGAGCTCCCCTGACCCTGTCCCTGCTCCTCTCTGCAGGCTCTGTGGCCGGGCACACTTTGTGTTCCTGGGTGCCACCAGCTCAGCAGCTGCAGCCGCTCCAATCAGCGCCCGCAGCTCTGCAGCAAAGCCCCAGCTCACCTGGCACACAGGGCATGCACACAGCACCTTCTCGCTGCTGGGCACTCCCAGATCAGCCTCTTCCCCAGCACGGGGCTCTCCTGCCTCAGCACCACCTCTGCCTTCCACTTCTTCTCAGGGCCACCTCAGGGCCAGCTCTGGGCTCACCTCCGGGACATTTCTCAGGTGCACCTGGGTGGGAGAGGAGGGGCAGCACCACAAGTAGGTGAGTCCCGAGACCCCCCTGGTGTCCCCAATGTCCTCAGGGCCTCCCCATGGCCCCAATTCCCCTTGACGCCCCCATTCCACTGTCCTCAAACCCCATCCCAAATGTCTCCAACCCTCTATCACCCCCCAGGAGCCCCCTCTGGACCCTCTGACCCCAGACCAACCCCCGTTCCCCCTTCACACTCACAGAAAATTCAACGACATGTGGAGAGACACTGGGGACACTTGGGGGGCTTTGGGGGGTAGTGGGTGATTACTGGGGGATACTGGGACACACTGGGGGGAACCAGGGGGCACTGGGAGGGACTGGGTGATTACTGAGGGACTACTGGGACACACGGGGGGACACTGGGAGGTTACTGGGCCATACTGGGGGTTACTGGGTGCTCACTGGAGAATCATTGGCAATAGTGAGGGGCAGTGGGAGGTCACTGGGAAACACTGGGTGGTCACTGGGATTGGGTTACTGGGCCATACTGAGAGCCACTGGGAGGTCACTGGGCTATACTGGGGGCACTGGGGGGGTTCCCCCACAAGACTTTGGGTGGCACCCCCAGGACCCCTCCCCTGAGGACTGCGAGGCCCCTTGAACCCCACTGACTGGCTTCTGGGGACCCCCTGGATCCCCTCCATGTGGGGTCTCTGTGTGCTGAGTTTTGGGGGTCTCTGGGGTTCGGGGATGCATCAGGACCCGCTTTCCCTGCGGTCAGTCCGCCCAGCCGGCAGGGGGAGCTGTGGCACGAGCGGCAATGGCGCCGCCGCGCGAGGCCTCATGGGAGTTGTAGTTCGCTCATGGGGACTCCGCCGGCGCCTGCGCAGTGCAGCCATGGCGTTTAAACCTCTCTCCTGAGGGGGTTCCAAGGCCCCAGCCCTTTCAGGGACCCCCTAAACCCCTTCAGGCACCTTCACCCTCCCCTCTGAGCGCCCTCAGGACACCAAATCCCCTCCGCGACCCCCCGACAGCCCCTCACGGACCTCAAAACCTCCTCGGGAACCCCCGAGCCCCTCCTCTCCACTCTGCCGAGCCCTCCAGCCTTCCCGCCCACAGCCGCGCTCCCCGCAGCCCCCGAGCGCATCCCCAGCCCCGCCGCAGCCCCCGCCAGGGCTCACAGAGTCGGAGCAGATCCCGCTGCCGCCGCCATCGCTTTCCCGGCAGCCACCGCGGGGCTGTGCGCGCGCACTGCCGGCAGAGACCCCGCCCCCTTTTCCGCGCGGGGCACGCCGGGAGTTGTAGTTGCAGCGGCTCAAAGCTCCAAACTCCCCCAGACTCAATTCCCCACGGGCGTTCCTGGGGCAGAGCGGGGCAGAACCGGGGCGGGGACGGGACGGGCATTGGGTGGAAATCGTTATAAAAACTGTAACCCCTGCGCTGGAAGGGATGGTTGTGGGTTTGTATTCCTGGAGCTGGAGGCTCATGGACAACCTCTGCTGCTCCTCTGATCTCCTACGTAGTTGGGCCTGGAGTCTTTTCCTCTGCAGCTTTTTAGGGAACAACGTTTATGGGGTTTATGAGGACATGGCCTTTATGAGGAGAGCCTCTTATGAGGGGTATGGGCTTTCTGAGGACAGCACCTTTATGACCTGCATGGGCTTTATGCAGAGAGATCTTTTATGATGAGAGCTCTGTCATGAGGTGTGTGGGGTGTATGAGGACAGTGCTTTTATGACATTTCTGGTGTTTATGAGGACAGAGCCTTTATGAGGTTTATATCATTTATGAGAACATCTCCTTTGTGATGACAGCCCCATGAGAAGGTTTATGGGCCTTATGACGACAGGGGCATTATGAGGTCTGCACTGTTCTGAGGTGTGTGAGGGTTATGAGGACAGTGCCTTTCTGAGGCTGCCCCATTATGGGGTGGATGGGTTTTATGAGCACAGAGACCTTCTGAGGCTGCCCCATTGTGAGGTGGATGGGGTTTATGAGGAGAGAGACTTTATGAGGAGAGACACTCTAGGATGGCCCCTTTATGAGGTTTATGGGCTTATGAGGACAGCACCATTATGACATCTAAGGGTGTTGTGAAGACAGAGCTTTCATGATGAGAGCTCTTTTATGAGGTGTTTGGGCTCTATGAGCCCTGCACCATTGTGAGGTCTATGGGCTTTATGAGAGCAGTGTCTTTATGAGGCCTGCACTTTTATGAAGTGGGTGGGGTTTATGAGGGCAGAGCTTTTATGATGTTTATGTGGTTTTTGAGGACATGGCCTTTATCATGGGAGCCCCTGATGAGGTTTATAGGCTTTATGAGGACAGCACCATTATGACATGTATGGGCTTTATGCAGACAGAGCTTTTATGATGAAAGACCCATTATGAGGTTGTTGGACATTATGAGGACAGGGGCTTTATGGGGCCTGCACCACTATGAGGTGAAGGAGCTTTATGATGCTGGAGCCTTTAGGAGGTTGTGGCATTACTGAGGTCATCAGCTTTATGATGAGAGCCCCATGGTGAGAGGTATTGGCTTTGTGAGGCCAGTGCTTTGATGAGGCTGCACCATTCTGAGGCGTGTGGCATGTATGAGGAAATGGCCTTTATGATGAGAGCCCCATTATGAAGTGGATGGGCTTTATGAGTCCTGTTGCCTTGGAGTTTTGAGTTTTTAGGTTTTGTAGATTTTAACAGTAGTTGTACAGGAATTGTAGCTTTTAACGTAGCTGCATTTTATCCTTTACCCTTAACACAGTAGTTCCCCAGAGCCAACCCTGTTCCCCAACTCCCATATCAATCCCCCTAAATTCCATTGGCCTGTTTAGTCTCATTTTCAAGGTAGAATTGTAGAGAACACCCTAAAAACTGTGCAAGGGTCCATCCGAGGGGCTGGAAGCCAGCAGGGTCCTGAGGGAGACAGAACACCAGCAGAGCCCTTCCCATGCTGAGGGGGCCTTGTCATCAGGTGTCTGCTGGGGGGTTTTGTTCAATACTTGTTGATTCAAATCCAAAAAAACGAAGGGTAAACAGAGCTTTGTGTACTTGAGGTGTCACATTCCCCCCTTTTGTTTTAAAAGTATTTGTTTTAAATACAGAGCACACATTTCTTACACCTGGGATAGGCACAAGTGATAACACCACATTTATGGTTTCTTTCTGTTTTGTTTCCACCCCTCCTTTTTTTTTTTTTCTTCCTTTGTCTTTTATTTCTTCTTTCCTCTTTTTTCCTTTTTTTTTCCCTTTTTCCCTTTTTCCTTTAATTTTTTCTTTTTGGTTTTTTCCTTTTTTTTTTAATTTTTCTTTCCTTTTTTTCCTGTTTTATTCAATTTTTCTTTTTTTGCCTTTGTCTTTTCTTTTTTTCCTTCATCTTTTTTTTTTCCTTTTTTTTAATTTCTTTTTCTTTTCTTTTTTTTCCTTTATCTGTCTTTTTTCTTTCTTTTTTCCTTCATCTTTTTTTTTTTTTTTTTACTTTCTTTTTCTTTTCTTTTTCCATTTATCTTTCTTTTTCTTTCTTTTTTCCTTCATCTTTCTTTTCTCTTTTTTCTTTTTTTAATTTTCTTTTCTTTTTTTTCCTTTATCTGTCTTTTTTCTTTCTTTTTTTCCTTCATCTTTTTTTTTTCTTTTTTTTTACTTTCTTTTTCTTTTCTTTTTTTTCCTTTATCTTTCTTTTTCCTTTCTTTCTCTTTTCTTTTTGTTTCCTTTATCTTTCTTTTTCCTTTCTTTTTTTTTTGTTTCCTTTATCTTTCTTTTTCCTTTCTTTCTCCTTTTTTTTTGTTTCCTTTATCTTTCTTTTTCTTTTCATTTCTCTTTTTTCTTTTTTTTCTTTTTTCTTTTTCTTTCTTTTTCTTTTCTTTCTTTTCTTTTTTTCTTTTCTTTCTCTTTTCTTTTTGTTTCCTATATCTTTCTTTTTTCTTTCTTTTTTTTTCGTTTTTTTTTCTTTTTTTTCTTTTTTTTTTTTACTTTCTTTTTCTTTTCTTTTCCTTTATCTTTTTTTTTTCTTTTCTTTCTCTTTTCTTTTTGTTTCCTATATCTTTCTTTTTTCTTTTCTTTTTCTTTTTTTCTTTTTCTTTCTTTTTCTTTCTTTTTCTTTTCTTTTCCTTTTTCTTCTTTTCTTTCTCTTTTCTTTTTTTTCCTTTATCTTTCTTTTCTTTCTTTTTTCTTCTTTTTCTTTCTTTTTTCTTTCTTTTTCTTTCTTTTTCTTTTCTTTTCCTTTATCTTTTTTTTTCTTTCTTTCTCTTTCTTTTTGTTTCCTTTATCTTTCTTTTTTTCTTTCTTTTTCTTTTTCTTTTCTTTTCTTTTTTCTTTCTTTTTCTTTTCTCTTTTCTTTCTTTTTCTTTTCTTTTTCTTTTCTTTTTGTTTCCTTTATCTTTCTTTTTCTTTCTTTTTCTTTTCTTTTTTTCTTTTTTTCTTTTTTTTTTCTTTCTTTTTTCTTTCTTTTCCTTTATCTTTCTTTTTCTTTTCTTTCTTCTTTTCTTTTTGTTTCCTTTATCTTTCTTTTTTTCTTTTCTTTTTTTTTCTTTTTTTTTCTTTTTTCTTTTTTCTTTCTTTCTTTTCTTTTCTTTTTTCCTTTATCTTTTTTTTCTTTTTCTTTCTTTTCTCTTTCTTTTTCCTTTCTTTCTTTTTTCTTTTCTTTTTTCTTCTTTTTTTCTTTTTTTCTTTTTTTTTTCTTTATCTTTCTTTTCTTTTCTTTTCCTTTTTCTTTCTCTTTTTCTTTTCTCTTTCTCTTCTCTTTTTTTCCTTTATCTTTCTTTTTTCTTTCTTTTTCTTTTCTTTTTGTCTTTCTTTTTTCTTTTTTTTTCTTTTCTTTTTTTCTTTCTTTTCTTTTTCTTTTCTTTCTCTTTCTTTTTCTTTTCTTTCTTTCTCTTTTCTTTCTTTTTTTTCTTTATCTTTCTTTTCTTTTCTTTCTTTTTTTCTTTTTTTCTTTTCTCTTTCTTTTCTTTTCTTTCTTTTCTTTTTCTTTTCTTTTATCTTTCTTTTTCTTTTCTTTCTTTTCTTTCTTTCTTATCTTTCTTTTCCTTTCTTTTTTCTTTCTTTTTTCTTTCATCTTTTTTTCTTTCTTTTTTTCTTTCTTTTTTCTCTTTCTTTTTCTTTTTCTTTTCTTTTTTGTCTTTCTTTTTTCTCTTTCTTTTTCTTTTTCTTTTGTTTTTGTCTTTCTTTTTTCTCTTTTTCTTTTTTTTTTCCTTTATCTTTCTTTTTCTCTTTCTCTTTTCTCTTTCTTTCTTTTTGTTTCCTTTATCTTTCTTTTTTTTCTTTCTTTTTTCTTTTCTTTCTTTTCTTTCTTTCTTCTTTTCTTTTCCTTTTCTTTCTTTTTTTCTTTCTTTTTTCTTTTTCTTTCTTTTTCTTTTTTTCTTTTTTCTTTTTTTCCTTTCTTTTTCTTTCTTTCTTTTCCTTCATCTTTTTTCTTTTCTTTTTTTCTTTCTTTTTTTTACTTTCTTTTTCTTTTTCTTTTTTCCTTTATCTTTCTTTTTCTTTTCTTTTCTTTTATCTTTCTTTTTCTTTCTCTTTTTCTTTTCTTTTTTTCCTTTTTTTCTTTTTCTTTTTTTTTTCTTTTTTTCCTTTCTTCCTTTTTCTTTTCTTTTCCTTTATCTTTCTTTTTCTTTTCTTTTCCTTTATCTTTCTTTTTTCTTTCTTTTTTTCTTCATCTATTTTTTCCTTTTTTTCTTTTTTTCCTTTTTTCTTTCTTTTTTTCCTTCATCTTTTTTCTTTTTTGTCTTTTTACTTTCTTTTTCTTTTCTTTTTAATTTATCTTTCTTTTTTTCTTTTCTTTTTCTTCCTTCATCTTTTTTTCTTTTTTTTCTTTTTCTTTCTTTCTTTTCTTTTTTTCTCTTCATCTTTTTTTCTTTTTGTCTTTTTTTACTTTCTTTTTTTTCTTCTTTTTTTTTTATCTTTCTTTTTCTTTCTTTTTCCTTTCATCTTTTTTTCCTTTTTTCTCTTTTCCTTTTTTCTTTCTTTTTCCTTCTTTTTTTCTTTTGTCTTTTTACTTTCTTTTTCTTTTCTTTTTTTTAATTTATCTTTCTTTTTCCTTCATATTTTTTTCTTTTTTTCTTTTTTTTACTTTATTTTTCTTTTTTTTAATTTATCTTCCTTTTTTCTTTCTTTTTTTCTTCATCTTTTCTTCTTTTTTTTTTTACTTTCTTTTTCTTCTCTTTTTTTGGTTTATCTTTCTTTTTCCTTTCTTTCTCTTTTCTTTATTTTCCTTTATCGTTCTTTTTCCTTTCTTT